TTGGATAGCGGTAAGCAATTTGAGCAACTCTCATTTGCCCCCCCCCCCCGGTACAAGTCCTTTCTGCACAAATGTCATGGAGTTCTTGCCACGAGAATCTCGACTCAATTTTTAGCATAGTGGATTCGCCATTTTCATAGTCGATCCCAATGTTCAAGTTTTTCACCCGACCATTCCACCGAATAATAAGCCGAAACTTCTTAAATTTACCCATGTCTGCAATTTATAATAATTAAGTATAGTATATAATTACTACATTAGGGATACAAAAACAATATCATCCAAACCCATAAACAAACGCATGTAATTGATCTATCATGAGAAAACTAAGCAAATTCATCTAAATTCATAACTAACTAACTAACATCTATCATATCATAATTAATCTAACTATATCATAACATATTTTCCAATAACCGCAATTCACTAAATACAGACATATAATTACTAACACATCAACATGTAAACAATACATAATTATAACCTACCGAATCCTGATCTATCATGAGAAAACTAAACAAATTCATCTAAATTCATAACTAATTAACTAACATCTATCATATCATAATTAATCTAAATATATCATAACATATTTTCCAATAACCGCAATTCACTAAATACAGACATATAATTACTAACACATCAACATGTAAACAATACATAATTATAACATACCGAATCCCGATCTATCATGAGAAAACTAAACAAATTCATCTAAATTCAGTACTAACTAACTAACATCTATCATATTATAATTAATCAAAATATATCATACCATATTTTCCAATAACCGCAATTCACTAAATACAGACATATAATTACTAACACATCAACATGTAAACAATACATAATTATAACATACCGAATCCCGACGAGTTTCTTGAGCAGTAAACCAACTCCAAACCAGCTGAGAAAACGACTTTTTTGTACTAATTTGCTGTAAGGCAGTAGGAGGGGAAGTGGGGGTCGGTATTTATAGGAAAAAATGGCAGCTAATCACCGCAGTGGACAATTGCGGTGAACACATCACCGCTTTTGTCCAAAGCGGTGATAGCTAGGTCGCTGTGACCTAATTTTCCACCTACCAGGGCTCTAAAACGTGGTCAATTATCACCGTTTTGGTCTACGGCGATGATGTGATCACCGTTTCTCATATCAGCGGTGAGGCAATCACCGTTTTGGACAGCAGCGGTGATTACTTCCCCGTTGTTGTTCAAAGCGGTGATGTGTTCCCCATTGTTGTCAAAAGCGGGGATACCTTCCCCGTTTTGGACTTAAGCGGTGATCACTATCACTGTCGAAGACAAAGACAGTGATGTTGAAACTGCTGTATTTTGGAAAATAAGTTTATAAGTACTGTATTTAGGAAATTTTTTTGATAATTAGAGTATTCTGGAATTTTTTCCTATTTTCTTAATGAGTAAGACTAACTCCAACCCAAAAAGCTATATTTAGCCTCCCAAGCTCTCAAATGTGCATATTTGCCTCCCCAAAACACCTTTTTGCTCCAACCCTATAGGCTTCCAAATTTAGCTTCCCACATCTTTTTTTGATTTAATTTCCATAATCCATACTTATTTACAATATCATTCTTGTAATTCACTTTAATTTTTTTATAGTTTGTTATTACTTGTGGAAACAAATTTTTCGTTGTAATTTTTTTTAATTCCGAGATAATTTTTTTTCAAAATTAGTCATTTTTTGTAGCCGTTACTTTATGACCGTTTTTTTGTCGTTTTGTGCATCATATGTGTTTATAAATTACAATTCTTCATTTTTCATCAACTCACTGAAACTTCTTCCCATTTCTAAAACAAACACATTCATCATGAGTATGTCAGATAGCTCATCGTCGGGAGGAGAAGAAGAAATCGAAGAGTACGAGAGGTTTCACCACCTACGGTTGAGTTTAATCGGCCGGAGGCTGGCTGAAGGTTCATCAAGTCGACGTCACATTGATCGTGAAAGGGTCGAATGTAATCGCCGTCTTATGAGGGATTACTTCGATCCAAATCCAGTATACAATGCTCGCATATTTAGAAGGCGCTATCGGATGCAACCAAGATTATTCCATCGCATTATGGGCGACATTGTGAGGTTTGACCCCTCATTTGCTCTACGGCGTGATAGCTTGGGTCAATTGTCATTATCTCCAGAGCAGAAGCTAACTGGTGCGATGCGCATGCTAGCATATGGTTCTCCAGCTGATCAACTTGACGAGTATGTTCGTATGGGTGAGAGCACTTTGATGGAGGTGTTCAGAAAGTTCTGCAACAACATTATCAACATGTATGGGGCCACATATCTTCGCGCACCTACTCCTGCCGATTTAAGGATCTTACTCAGTAAAGCCTCAAGACGTGGCTTTCCTGGAATGATTGGATCAATTGACTGTATGCATTGGGAATGGAGGAATTGTCCAAGTGGCTGGGCAGGACAATACACCGGCCACATGCATAGGCCAACAATCATTCTAGAGGCGGTGGCCTCCTACAACACATGGATATGGCATGCTTTCTTTGGGTCTCTTGGATCGAACAACGATATAAATGTTCTGGGGATGTCGCCAGTGTTTGATCGTATTGTCAATGGAAGCGCTCCACATGTACGATTTGAGGTAAATGGCCATGCTTATGATCAATGCTATTATTTGGCCGACGGTATTTATCCCTCATGGTCGACTTTAGTGAAGACCTTCAGCAATCCAAGGTCAAACAAAGAGGCTTTGTTTGCTCAACGTCAAGAAGCACACCGCAAAGACGTAGAGCGGGCATTTGGAATCCTCCAATCAAGATGGGCAATTGTTCGTGGCCCTGCAAGAGCTTGGGATGTTGTCACACTGAACAATATAATGTTGACGTGCATTATATTACACAACATGATAATCGAGGATGAGCAAGTTGATTCTGATGATGAGATGGATGATGACCTTGATTATGAGGTCCATGAACAACCTCAACCAATCAACCGACATGTTCCAACTCTGGTTGATTATTTGGCTAGAAATAATAGGATTCGCTCCTCAACAACACATCATGCGCTTCGAAATGACTTGGTTGAGCATCTTTGGAATTTGCAGGGCAATAACTAGTATTGTTTAATTATGGATTGTATTGCTTGTTTGGTAGTTTGTATTTCAAGTTTCAGTGTGTGATTGTATTTCATGTTTCAATAAAGTGTGTTTTGTAGTTAGTCAAAAGATTCAATAACGACTAGTTTTTTTTATTACACATGAAAATGCTCAAAGTTCAAATACAACACACAATACACCACATAAAGCAATAAAAGCCTCAATTAGTACACATAGGACATTCTTCTAATCATAATCCATAACAGGAAAGTAATCACCTCCACTTTCATCTCCATCTCCTCCACCACTTGCATCTCCATCTCCGCCATCTCCTGGATTAGAGTTGGGATCATCTTGATCGTACCCATAGATGTCATTTTGTTTACTCCTCCAAAATTTATTCTTTCTTGGTGTAATCTTTGACAAATCCTTCTCCAGAATATTCATATTTTGTTGAAGTATTGCGGCCTCCCTCTCTTTCTTCTCAAGAGCCCATTGTTTCGCTTCCTGCACTCTCACTTGCCTCTTGTATGCCCATTCCTCGGCTTCCCTCTCTAGTCTCCTCTCTTGAAGATTAATTTTTCTATTTTCGTACTCCATCCTCGACTTTTGCCTCTCTCTCATATCATTACCAAACTCTAGCTGTTGAGTAGTGTACATGTCTGACGACTCTGCAACTACCTTACCTTTCTTTTTTGCTGCCTTTTGTTTGTCGCGTCCTTCAGGGCGAGACAGCACGAAAGGCGTAGCTCCCTCGTCTGGTATGTCGTCGAGGCCTTCCACAGGGGAGGATTGAGAACCAATACCTATGGGAGAACTTTGAGAACCTTGACCCATAGGTGGAATTGGACCGACAACCAATTGAGGGTCACAATACCACTTTGGGCAATTTCGAAGGATGACCCAACAATGCTCATGTTCAAAGGCTTTGTCCCCATTCTCTTCCTTATATATCTGCCTTGCTACAAATTCCTATCAAAATTATTAATACACAAGTTAGATAAGTAAATATACATAAAAATAAGAAATACAAAAGTTAAAGTTTCCAAAACAATACCACATCAACTTGGTTGGTACCGCTCGTTTGACTCCTCTCCGCCCTCTGCAAAGCTCCCTTCCAAACTTTACACTTGTTACTGATAAGTCTCAGTCGGGATTCCATTGAATCCGTAGTACGAATTGTTGTAGGATCGCTTCTTCGAAATTCCCTCTCCACCCTTTCCCATAATCTCGTGCTCTTTTGATTGATGCCAACCGCTCCATCTTCAGATATTGATATCCAAGATTTGCACAAGTTTACATCTTCATGAGCTTTCCAATTGGGTCCTCTCTTACTTGACATGTTTTTGTTTTGAGAGATGATAAATAGATGAGAATGAGAGAGATTGATTTGAGAATGAGTGCAGAAAAAATATGAGAAGTTACTCATTATATAGAAAAAAAATATGACAGTTTTATGGCCGTTAAAATTTGTCCGTTGCAATGTGACCGTTTTATTGTCACTATATTACTTCTTTCAAACTAAAACGCAAACACACCCACACAAATAACCACCCAAACAAATTGAAAAAAAAAAGCAGCAACAGAGGGGGACCACGCGTGCGGCCCAGGCGCGCCTCCCGCGGTTGGGCCTCGCCTGCACGCGTGGTCCCCCTTCCAGCTGCTATATTTGCCCCCTTTCCCCCTTTCAGCTGCTACCTATCCACCCCAACACTCCAATCTCCAAATTTGGAAGCTAAGTTTTTGATGGGTTGGAGATGAAAAAAGACAAAATATTCACTTTCTCCAAATTTGCAAGCAAGGGTTGGAGTTAGTCTAAGAGGCAGTTGTGCTTTGCACACTTTTCAAGAAGAAAAAAATATCTTTTCTTGGCCTAGGAATGGTGTTGGGTCCGGGCTCTAGGGAAAAATCATCTGATCTAGTTACCGTCCGATGGTGACGAGTAAAAAAACGGTACCGTCTTCCGAACCCTGGGGGCTCTGCAGCCCGCCAAACGAAAACGATGATGTGGCAATGGCATCCTTCTCCTTCTGCCGTTACCGTCGCCGCTGCTCGTTGCTTCTTCACTTCCTCGACTACCACTTTAAAACCCTATTGCTTCTCCTCCTCTGCCAACTCAACCCTTCTTTGTAACCTCGTCTCCGTTTCCCCTCCGCAAGTTCCAATGTCGACGATAGACGAAGCCGACGTCGGAATCCTCTGCTACATCTCCAAAACCCCCGGATTCCGGGGCATTCTCAAGCAAAGGTAATCTGGTTTTTACTTCTATATATGAAAATCTAGATAATGGCTTTTCCACATGGTTTGAGTTTCGAGGAACTGAATTCTTTGTTTAGGTATGCTGATTTCATTGTGAATGAAGTTGACACTGAAGGAAATGTGGTTCATTTGACCTCTTTGGACGCTCCTGCTCAAGTGGGTCGCCCCTTTGCTTTCCACTCTTTGTTACTCACTTATTTCCTTGGTTGTCTCTGCTTTTAGCTTGGGTTTCCCCCCCTTGATTTGATTTTGGCCACTGGTTTCAGGAGGTAGTGGAGGAAACTGAGACGATGAAAAGTGATCAAGTGACAAAAGAGAGTTACGAGTCTGAAATTCAGGCCTTCCGATTACTCGCTGGGGAATCTGATGGTGATCTTTTGGAGGGTCTGATCAATCAAGTTAATTCTGGAAGTGAAGATGGAATTTCGCCTATTGTACTATCTCCGGATACCGATAAAGCCCATAGAACGGTTGGTTTGTGTCTCTTACTGTTTTCGATGCTCCAACTCGATTAGTAATGGAATTAGATTTGATGGTTCTGAGTGGATTTATTCAGGCAGTGCATAATTTCTTCAAGGAGAAGTTAAAGTTCCTTGTCACTGATACTGTCGATGGACCGGATGCTTCATCGAAATGCATTCGTGTGAGGTTGAATTCTGGGGGTGGAGGCAATAATAGTGGAAGAAGTTCTAGGAAACGGAAAGAAAGAGGCGATAAGGCCTTTGACAGTAGAGGTTCCAAAAGTTGGCCAGACCATGTTGGCAAGTTTCTAAGGTGATCAGCATATGATTATTCCTTCGTCAATAAACGCTGTTTTCTTAACAGAAGCATTATTCACTTGGTGTAGTGACATGTGCGGTCTTGTATCATACATGGTAATTTTGGATTAGCTGGAGGATGTAGTTTCAATTTTGCATAAATACTGAAGGTTCTGTCGCCTTTGGGTGGTCAGGTTTCATCTGTACAAGGAGAACAAAGACACACAGGAGGCAATTGGTCTCCTAGGAAAGATGCTTGGCATTAAGGTATGCCCTATGTATGTGTGCCTCTTTTGGGATGGATGACAAATCCTTGTTCTATTTTTCAGTGTCTTCCTCCGACTTTCTTCTGTACGAATGACTGAAGGGATGTTTTGATTTTGACTGATGGCATGACAAGGAATAATAATGACTATTTTTGTGATACAGCCAAGGGCATTCGGGTTTTCAGGAACCAAAGATAAACGAGCTATCACCACTCAAAGGGTGAGCCTCCTGGCCCTAATGATTTCTGCTATGAACATCAATTTTGTTCTCGATTCTCAGGATCTATCTTCTTCAGTGCAAAGTTCGTTTTTAGTATATTAAATAAATACAGCTGGAACTTCATTTTAAGATCTTCTCAGTGAGGTGTAATTTTTCGTGTTAACCAAATTGAAACTACGGATGAAATGCCTCTATTGGGAGGATAACACTTTCAGTGGATAATTTGGGTCTGCTTCAGGTAACCGTTTTCAAGCAGCAAGCGACTAGAGTAGCTGCTCTAAACGACCGATTGATTGGTATAAAAGTGGGTGACTTCTGGTAAGTTGAAATCATCACAAGAACTGCACTTTTTACCGAAATTGTTGCATAAATGTGTTAATTACTGGGAAATTGCCTCAGCTATGTCAATGAGGAACTTCTTCTCGGACAGCTCTCAGGCAACAGATTCACAATCACATTAAGGTATGCATATGCTCTCGTTTGATAAATTTTCTCACCATCTTGCAGTATAGCTCTGACAATTTTTTTTATATATTCATTCCTTTAGAGGAGTTGTTGCAGATTGCGAAGAGACCATCAAAGCATCTGCTGAATCTTTGGGGTTGCATGGGTTCATCAACTATTTCGGTCTGCAGGTACTTTCCTGTTCCTAGTTTCTGCTTGTGTGTCAACAAAGGCTGCATTCATATTTTTTAACATTTGTTAGCTTTCATTGGCGGTTTTCAAGAATAGATGGTTCAAGGACTGACATTGTGCTCATTTGTGTTATGAAATTGGCTCTCTCTCTAGCGTTTTGGAAGTGGTTCTGTAGCAACGCATCTTGTTGGTGCCGCTTTGCTTCGTGGAGAGTGGAAAACAGCCGTAAGCTTGATCCTTGATCCAAGAGAAGGAGATATCCTTTTTCACATTATAACCTATGTTTGAATTATCCAAAATCCTGGAACTTTGGGGAACATATAAGCACTAGGTTTTTCTTGACTTGAATCTTTCAATACAAAGAGACGCAGTAAGAATGGTGAGGGAATATTACAAGGAAAGCAATGACATTGATGGCACCTTAAGGCAATTGCCACGCTATATGGTAGCCGAGAGGGCCATTGTAAGTTGTCTTACCTCATAGCTAACTTTTTTCGTTTTATGTATTCGGTCTTTTCGTCTGTCATTAATTGTGGCCAACTCAGACCTGCATCCTTCCAACATTTTGCAGCTCCAATGTTTGAAGAAAGCTCCCGGGAATTACTCCCAGGCCATGAAAGCTATACCGAGGACTTTGAGAATGATGTATGTGCACAGTTACCAAAGCTATTTGTGGAACCATGCTGCAAGCATGAGGTTCCAAAAATATGGTATGTGTGCTCTGTTTATGCAGATACTGTTTTCAGGGTTTTTTTCTTTTCTAGGCATCTGGTTTGACAAGTGGGGTCTGTTCATTGTTGGCAGGAAGGCAAGTTGTTGTGGGAGACTTGGTATACCCAATAGATGATGTAACAGAAAACGAGACTATTGTTGCTGCTACCTCTGAATGTAAGGTTGAACCTGAGGAAATCGATAATTGCAGTTATTTAGATGAAGCTTCAGCAATAGAATTTCCTGAGAAAAAAAACCTCCGTGCTAAGGTATGCTGGGCCACATTCTATGGATTTGAATTAGTTAGTAAATACTCAGTTTAATACAGGTATATGTACCTGTACGTATTTTATCCATTTAAAACTTCTGTATCCGTATTATTGTCAAGCCGTCCGTTTCATTTTTTTCCGTTCATTTGATGACTCTCTAACTAAATATGTATAAAATCCGTATAACACGATTAATATCCCTAGTTAATTAATTAAATTATTAACTTTACTATTATTTATATATTTATTAATTTTTAAAATAATTAATTTTTATATATTTATGACTATTACCGTACTATTAAACATAGTATTAGCTTAGAGACGAAGTAAAATACCCGTACGTATTTTATACATAACTTTCCCGTACCGTATTTTACTAACTATGATTTGATTGATGTTAGTCATGTTGTGGTAATAGCGATTAGCTGATGCTAGATGTAATCTACATACTACTTGAACATGTGGATTTGTGACTAAGATGCTGATACTTCTTGCGCCATATAGGTTGTTACTGCAGAAGACATCATTGCTGGGAAATATGCTATTGATGACATCATCCTTCCAATGCCTGGGTCTAGAACAATTTTTCCCGCCAATGACATCTCTGACGTCTTTCATGATTCGGCTAAGAAGGTTGGAAATGTTCCGTGTTTATTCTCTACACAGCATGGGAAGCTGGTTATTCTGTTTGCACTTATTCTAAACTACTAGATCTGTACCTGGTCGTTATCTAACTTCTGTTTTATCATAATTTGGTCCTTAATCAGGATGGTGTGAATTTAACCGAAAGTGTGCATAACGTCAAGTAAGTTATCAAGCTGCTCCAAAATTTTCTTACTGAATTCACTGCTTCTATCTAATGATCTATCTCTCCATTGAACAGGGAATTCTCGATAGCCAGCATGACTGGAAGCTATAGGCAAGTTTTTCACAAGCCGAGGGACTTCGAGTGGTATGACTTCATGAAATCCACATGTTATTATTATGGCTGTCTGACATCCTTCATGGACAGTCGTTAACTTGGTTTTTAATCATATTTGCAGGCAATTGCTCAAATACACCGATGCTAATGCACCATTAGCAGAGACCGACATGGACAGAATTGGCATGGATAAAGCTAAATGTCCTAACGAAGTCAAAGAGGAAAATATCGAGGTGCATCTTGTTGAAGCTAACAGTGGAGAAGGGGAAGAGCCAGTTGAAAGTGAAGAAGCTCCTGGTGACCTTGATACACAGGAAACGCAATTAGCTCTGAAGTTAAGCTTCACTCTTCCAGCTTCATGCTATGCTACTATGGCCATTCGAGAGCTTCTGAAAACCTCAACATCGGTACGTACCCTTTCCTCTTAAACCCTACATCTTAATCTTGGCTACTTGTTGCTCTTGGCTAATGGAATTGATTCTTCTCCATGCCTTTTTTTCCCCTTTCTGCAGGTTGCCTTCCACAAAACTCTGAATTAGAAAGCTATATGATCCCCATTAGACACAGCCTGGCTCAGAGAGAATACTGAAAGAAAATGACAACCGTACAGTGGATTGCGTGGAATGTGTCACTTTAAATTAGACGATAAGTGAAATCGGAACAAAGCTTGATAGCAGCGAATTTTCAAGAGATTCCGTTACTAATTCTACATCATCGCTGATCTTCGCCTTGTTTTCCCTTTCCTCTTTGTCGGAACTTTTAACGACGATTTTTCTTTTTGTGCCTCCATAAGTTATACGATTTGTGCTCTTTTTAGTGACAACCCGACCCCGTCCCAGAGTCAGAACATGTTCAAGTGCGGCTGCGGAGAAGCAAAGAATCAGAAACAGAATGCACAAAAACAACAATTTACCGTTGGGTCGTAATAGAGAGTTTCAATCAGGCGATCTTTATACCTCGCAGGCAACGAGAATTTCTCTGTCGCCGTCGCAACAATACTCTTCACCACCCTGCGATGGCGGCGCCACGGTCGACCGATACAGCTTGATGAACCACTGCTCCTGGACTTCACCAACGGGCACCCTTTTCGACTGTGCAGCCGACGATGAGAACCCGAGACGAGGAATCTCACTCTGCACGCTGTTCGTTCCATCGCTAGACGGCGACCGCCTTGTGTTTGACGAAATGCTCCTACGAGGTCTCTGCCTCGGCTCACTGTGAGACCTCGACTTCGCCCTGGACGACTGCGTCTTCCCCATGTAGCTCGGCTCCAGGAACGAATCCTGATTCGAAACCGGAGCTCGTCCCGATCCTGACGAGACGCCCTGTTGAGAAGCTCTGTAATGGCGGGTTGTTGCAGGACTGGTCTGGGTAGAAGAGTAGGAAGACTCCTCGTACGGCCGCTCGCGCTTAAGGTAAGAGAGGTCCCCTGAATGCCTCCTGGTGGCAACTCTCTCAGAATCGTTCAGGTTCCCATCTTTGTTGTTGTTCGTCTTCTCGACTGATCCACTTTGAGCTCTTTTGATCCTCTTCTTGTCGGAAGGAGAAGCTCCCACCTTTGAGAACTGATCAGCAACTTCTTCTTGTCGAAGTTGCGAGTGATCGCTCATCTGGATCCTTTGGAAACGAGCTCTGACTTGGATTGACATGACGGCGTGCATCTTTCGGATTGTGGCGCTCATACGTTTCCTCACTAGATGGCCTCTAGCTAGTGCTTGTAGCTTCACCAGTGCCTTTAGGGCAGCCAGTGCTTTCCTCGCCTAGCAAAAGAGAATAAAAGACATGTCATATGATTGCAACCTGATTCGATACAAAGGCAGATTTAAGTCTTAACACTCCTAGTCTGCAGTTTCACAAACGAAACAAACACGAATGGCAGCGGATAACAGAAAGGTTCTAAGTGTCGATTACCAAGTAAGACCGGAAGGCAGATTGGATCCTGGTGGCAGCAACATGTTCACTAGAGACGATCCTCAGCCGCCTGTCTGTTCCTGCTGCCTGTTGTGAAGCATTTGACTTCCTCTCGAAGTTCTTAATAGCTTCATGGATGGCCAGAGCCACAGCTTCATTGTTCCCCAGCGACGGACCCAAGAGCAGCTGCTCGATGGCGTCGGCTGACGAGGCTTGCAGAAGAGGGTTGAAGGTGGTGGTGATGGCGGCGGCGGCGGCGGTGCTGGTACTATGCCTCCGAGACAATGATTTGTCGTTGCTTGCTGATGATTTCCCAAAGCTCCATCTCCTCTTGTGATGGTGGGTTGGAGTTTGTGGCGGAAGAACAGCACTAGCAGCTGTATCTATACTGCCATCTTCTGCGAAAGACGACGCACCATTTGAGTCCGTCTTGCTACCAACCTTCTTATTGTTGCTATTGCCTCCCTGCTTCTTCCCTAGCAGGAAATTCATCACCCATTTCCCTGCCTTCCCCATCTTAGGATGGAAAATGATCAAGCTAAGCTAATCTCAAGAAGAATAAGGAAATGTGAAGTTTGAATACCAAAACCAATCTTGCCTTGTAATTGCATGACCATCAGAAAAACTGCAGGCCATGGCTTTTACATACAGAAATCTCACAGGTCGTTTTCTCTGAGAGTGAATATATTATTACGGCAATATTGTTGTTGTGTTGTGCCTGCAGGCTGCAGATGTTTGTTTTCGCTTAATTAGAAGCCATTTGGCCAACCCTTCTAACTACTCTTTGTAAAATAGGACCCATTCTCTCTCACACTCTCCTGAGTAGTGCCAAATTTCTTTGACCATATGGATGATAGCAAAAGAACAAGACATGTCATGATGAACAAATGTCTCTCGACTCGATTCATCCTTTTGCTGTCAAAATTCCACCTTGATCCTGTCGAGTGGAAAGTCAACAAAACAAGCGCACAAAATAAATACACTGACTATGAAGCTCAATGACTAAAATATTAACCACTACGGCTTGGGAATTAATCTACTTGTGAGTAAAAACTAACAAGACACTGAGAATCGGAGTCATCATCGTCGCCAAGTTCCGACGAGCCACAGATTGCCGGCGCTCATCTGAATTGGATTAAGTAGTGCAAGTTTAGTTTGCTGCACGAACAAGAAAACTTACTACGTTAACCGTGGAAAAATAGACAGAAGGAGAGGGAAAGAGAGAGCTACTTCGTACAGCCTATCATCTGGACTGAGTGTTACGTCAGCTCATAGTTACAAGAAAAAAGAGCTAAGAAAGCGTAGTAGCAGTGGAAGAAACATCATAAATCTTCAACTTTGGCAGTAGTATTCTCCTTGATACTCTTGGTGAGCCAAATAGCAGTCTCTCTGGGAGAAACCTTGCCCGGCCCAAACGGCTTCAGCAGCACGCCAAGCTCATCGTACCTCTCATCATTCAACAGCCTGGCGCTGAACTCGAGCAACCCTTCCAGGGCCTCAGCGCGCTGCCTGTATGACGAAGTGTCGAACCTTCGCCGTCTGGTTTCTGACGAAGTCCGGCTAGATGCTCCTCCAGCTGTCGCGTTCTGGTTGGACAACGAGGAGTTATTGCTCCCGCGGTCGTCTTCATGATCCACTCCCTGCTGTTTCTGCTTGCCGAACATGCTGAAGTGGATGCCTTGCCATGCATCGGCCAAGCCGGTGGGAGGCTGCTTGGCTGCAGCAGAGTAGTTGGAGACCGTCGTGCATTTGTCCTTGGTGATCGAACATCGAGGTGGCGAGCCGCAAGAACCTTGTGCAGAAGTCGACGAAGTTCTTTGGGCGGGGAAGAATGTCGACTCTTCGTATGGAGCCAATGGGAATTCTGCTATCCTGTCGATCCTGGGAGCATTGACGGAGACGTCTGGAGATTTCAAGCTTTGGAGGATGCCGACGTTGGACCGGCAAGCAGGATCTTGTCGGGTAGTGGTAGCTTTCGTTACCATCGGCAGAGATGCTCTGCGGCTTGTTACGATCGAGTTTTTGGTCTGTGTGGATGCGACAGGGAACTGGGGACGATAAGATAAACAAAATGAAGAAATCTGAAACTAGTAAGCAATCATAATAATAAAAATGTTAATAATTGACCCAGAATATAGTCGGTGTATGATCTCACCGATTCTCGTTTCCTCGCATGATCCGGTTGTCTCTTAGGAGCAGCAGAAGCTCTGGAAGCAGCAGCGACCTTCCGAGCTTTGGTGACACTCGAAGGCTTCGAAATGATGGGCTTACAGATCACCGTTGCACGGCTGCTCGCGAGAGAGATGTCCGACATCCTCCGGTTCAAGTAACTTGGCATATCATGGATTCCTTTGGTGGAATAAACAGAGTCTTGGTCTGTTGCTGATATGCTGGGGTTCAACATCCTGTTGTTGCAGTAAGAATGCCGTTTCTCAGAGTAAGTGTTGGGAGCCATTACAGTGTCCAAGAATCTCGTCTTCATGTAGTTGTTGTCGGGCCATTGGTAGGGCAATGTATCACCTCTGGGGCTGTTGATCTTCACATGGATCTTGTGGACATATGGTCGAAGATGTGGATGCCTCAGCAGGTCTGCAGCCTGAACCAAGAAATGCAGCCAAGTTCAATGATATAATGATACTGAGTTTCTCAGAGTAAGTTTTGCACATGATTTGATATTAGAGAGGATGGTAATTCATTTTACCGTTGGTCGCAGTTCTGGGTTCTTCCGCAACATGCTTTTGACAAGACTTCGACTGAGTACATATAGAAATGCCGTAAGAATAATGTTCCATTTGGACCCATACCATTTACGAAGTTTGTGTCGGACCTAGACCGAAACTTAAGACCTCAAAACCAACGATTCGAATTATTTCGAGTAAGTATGATAATAGAGTGACGAGGGGTCGGAGATTAACTTACAAAGCACCGGAGTATTTGGTTGGAAGTGGAGAAACGATCGACTTGTTTATTTTGTTAATCAGGGCTTGCATATCCTGCTCGATAGGGGAACCAAAAAAATACAAGCATAAGCAGAATAGAGAATGAAAAGAAAAGGAAACGTACAAATTCAGTGGAGCAATTCAACAAAAGCTTTTGCTATATTTTTACGGGGGCGCGCTAGTGACTTGCTGACTTGGAACTCATACATACACACAGCTTTCAGAAAAGGTATAGACACACTACGACTATGCCTACTATGATAACACAACCAAGTGGAGTCAAAAGCAGATAGGGAGCAGCACATTTTCTGAGTAGGTTAACAAAAAGTCAAAACTGTATAGGCTCTTTAGTCCCAACTGCATATGTGTACCTTTATAGCACATTACTATTATACTATCTAGTAAAGCTAGCCAGTTCCCATGATTGTGATTCCTGTAGCCAGCTTAGAATCCTACTGGTAAGTAAAAATTAAATTCCTGCCAAGTTGCAAAGTATAACCAAGGCCATTAAAAACTCACAAATGCTCTGAATGCAGCCTTATGAGAGCTCATTTCATATATACAGCAACCTGGATAAGAAAATTTATGGTGAGCATCAACACACGCATGCATCTCAATTATAGGAGCACATCAGAACTTTTAACAGTCTGCATACCTAGAGACCAAATATCAGACTTTGAACCATAAGGTATATCAGCGAGAAGCTCGGGGCACATATAACTTGGAGTTCCCACAACCTGAAATGCACCATAGTTATTGGTAAAAAAAACTTGAAAGAATGCCTTTTTGCAAGTATAACTGAGCAGATCTTGAAAGTTTGGATTGAACGACTTACAGATGAAGCCAGGTCATCCGAGGTCAAAATCTTGGCAAGTCCGAAGTCACCTGCATCAATATTGCCCTTTAGTTGGGTACCTTCAGTCTAAATATCTGAGTGTGTATTAGATGTGTAACAAAAAAAAAACCATATAACTTACCTAGACGAATGTCTTGATCTTTTGTCAAAAATATATTGGAACACTGGAGAATTGCAAATGGAATTGGTTATTGGAGTCTGGAAAATCAGATGTCTTGGAGAATGGATAATATTTACATTAAGTACACAAAATGGTCACACACCTTGACATCGCGATGGAGAATGTGATTCATGTGCAAGTAGTCAAGCGCCATGAGAAGTTGAACAATCCACTTGCATAGTCTCTGAAGATCGAATTACTATCAATCAGATGAGAAACACCTACAAACTCAATATCTGCATCTACGGACTGATGGATCTTAAAAGTGTACTCGAAGGACAGTATATTGCAGGACTAACAGATAAGGAGAGGTGGGAACAATAGAGAAAAGAGAAGAACCTCTTCAGAGAAAAGAACACCATTGGCTTTCTTTATAGCGTCAGCCCTAGAACACAAAGAATATATTGCTTGGATTAGTCCACTTCAATATTACAAAGTATAAGGTTTAATCAGAGTCTGCAGAGAAACAAAACTTACATGTCTCCTCCTTCACAATAACCTATGATAATGCATACATAGCAACCCTGAGTAAAAAAAGCACCCAATCATCCTACATTAGACCTTCCACGCAGGTAACTTAACCACACAAGAAATTATGCAACTAAGAAAAAGAAGTCTTCACTAGTTCAATTAACCAAAGTAACAAACCAAAGAACTCAAATGTTTCATGGTCATAGGAAGGAAACTATATCTTCACTTGTCTAACAATATATTGAATTGAATCGAGAGTTAGGAGATAGGAGAGAGAATATGTTTGCAGATTTAGGCAAGGCAGGATACTAAGAAGTACATGAAGCACCCAAGGACTATATTCTAGGATTTCAATGGGGCTGGTAGTTTCTAGAGGAAAACTGCATATCTTTATGAGTACTTTTAGATGTTATTAGCTAATACAAATAAAAACTTTCAGGAGCAACAAGCATTGATGGATGCCTTCTGAGCAGACACACCATATGTTACACCACACCCAAGTCATTGTCATTCATTCAATTTTTGCAGAATAAGGGAAATGGAAAAACCTTAAACCCTTGGAAAAAACAAGTGGAAAGTGGAAATGGCAGTGAATGGGCACACTATACCTTTTCAACCCAGGAGTCTTTGTACTCTACAATGAAAGGATTTCGTATTCTAGAAATCAGCTCCATCTGCACAAAAGTGAGGATGGTTTATGGCCAACATCCCAGATCAGTCCCAAATAATTATTCAAAACATATGCATACCATCAGCAGATTACTGAAACTACACCAACTCTTCTCCATCAGGAATGTGATCCCAACATGAAACTAGATAAATTCATTTTTATTTTTAGTGCATGTAAAATGGTTCTTTGATGCATAAACTATTATTAAAAATAGTAAGAAATTTCCACTTGGTTGGCAGAAGACCCTGTGAAAATCTCAATCGAAACAAATATCCTAGAGAATTAAGAGATACTTGTGGAAACTGACACTTATTTTGACTCTCAAAAGATATAACCCTGAATGCTAGAGAAACCATAGTTGCAAAAGAAGAAGCAAACTGGCCTCTTGATGAGCTGATCGCCGTGATCTATCAGTTTGACGAGCAAGGCGGATCTTCTTCAACACATACCTTAACACGACCAAAACATCAAGCAGGGGATTGAGTGAAACCGTGTACAAGTTAACATGAACAAAGAAGAAATAAAGGAGAGAACTGAAGGGAGCAAAAAGTTTCAATTCATCATCTCACTTCTTCTTTTCATGCCTGTGCCTCACAAGAAGAGCAGAGCCAAATGATCCCTTTCCTATCTGTTCTAGTACTTCGTACTGCTCCATGCTATTAAACACTTCGCTTTCCCTGCATATATAGACACATTGAAGCTGTCATCAATTTTGTCCACACATTATCCCCTATCAAATTGAAGTCTTCGAAAACCCACCAAAAGTGAGAGAAGAAATCCGTGAAAAAAGTGAAAACAACAACAGAAAGGAAGCACCATTACCGCAATCAAGAAAGTTCTTCTATCCATGAATATCAAGAAAAACGAAAGCCCCGAGACCATGCAACTATGCAAGGACAAGAAACTCATTTAAAAGATTGTGCGCCGGTACAACCACGGATTAACACCGGAATCACCATCACTAAGGTGGTGTTGACTAATTGTTCTCCGCAATTCTCAATGAAGAGGAATCATGAAAAGACTCAACTCAGCTCAAAATCCAAATTCATTGGAGATGGTGGAGATGGAAATTCGTTGGGGGAGCAGTGGAGTTCTTGGATGTGCGGTTTCATTACTCATTAGCGTACAAATAGTAGCAGAAAAGAGAAAGGGGGGAAATTCGATGCGGAAATATAGGAACTAATCACATTCCAACAAAAGAATGATTCAGCAAAGGAGAGCAAGGGCTTCCACCGCAGTTTTCTCGCAAGTTTCTCAGCAACCAAACAGTGTCATTATCAAGCTGAGGAAATTTAGAAAAAAGAATCAAATAAAGAAGCAGAGGAAATTGGAGAACAAGAGAGAAAGCAAACAAAAAGAAAATCCAATTAACAACGGCAGCTAAAACCCACAAATTCCGCAGAAATCAACAGAGACTCAGCTAGCTCGACCTCGCATTTTCAACTCGAACCTTCTTGTTTTTTTCCCCTAAACAAATAAAATTCAAAAACGCAAGTTCGAATTGGCGAAGGAAAAAGATCCGCTCCCTCCCAACACACTCCGCCGCAGTCAATGCAGCTCCGGAAATGGAGAGGTGAAGTGAATCTGCAGATTCGCGCGGGGGAGAGCTAGGCTGAGAGGGGAGTATTGAAGGAGCAAGAAGAAGCATGATTCGCGTACCTGAACGGCGGATGCTGGAGGAAAGCTTGATGAAATGCGGATCCGAAGATCGGAATGCGGCGAGGAAGGAGGAGTTTAACTAGTGGCGGCGGTGGTGTTCCTTGGGCGGAGAGGAGTCGGTGGCGTTTGGAGGAAGGGGAAGAGGAAGAGGAAGAGGAGAGGAAGGTGTTGTTTGTCGTTGTTGTTGTTGTTGGAGGAAGAGGAGCAGTAGAGCTCTGGAGACATGGGCAGTGTGACTTCTCTCTGCTTGCTCTCTCTGTCTCTGTGCGAAAGAGAGAGAAGAGGCGGAGAGAAAATGACAAAAACTTTGGAGTTATGGGCCACAACCTTCTCTCTTCAGTCTTCGCCTTCTTCCCGCATTTCTTTATTTATCGAGGGAAAAAAAGTTTTTTTTTTTTTTATAAAATGGCGAGAAATAAAAAGTGGGAAAATAAAGGTTATGTCAAGATTAGATTAGTCGAGTGGTCTGTCAGACTTTTAATTTATCATGGTAAATCATTGGTTAAAATAAAGGAGAATTTTTAGTTTTAATGATACTTATTCAGCTAAATAATTTTTCATGCAATATATCCTAATTTTGTCTAGAAACAAATTGATTTCCTGCGGTGATGATGTAGAATCAGAATTTATTATACAAACCACGGGAGCGATCTAGTTTCTAAAAACAAAATTATCGATATTGTTACTAGGGAAATGTAAGATTCCACGGGAGTAAAACTTAATATCTTGATATTAAAGCACTGTCATGATACTATTATGATTGAAATTAGATGATAATTCACATGTTGCTTCTTCGCTAGGGACCGGAAATGGTGTGGTCTGGTTCAGATATCATGCGCCTGGTCTTGCTAAAAAGATTGACAAGGGGTCAAGGATCATAATCGTTGTAAGGTACAGTGTATAGATGTTGTGCTAAAGTACGACAGATGAAAGGAGAGATTGTCGGAATTACCCTATGTATAAATAGGGGGCAAGTAATCATATTTACTCAGTTTGGATTCTCTCACTAAAAGGGAAGGCTAAAAACTTTTCTCTCTATAAACTCTTCTGATTTGATCGTGAGAGGACTAACGGATAAAGAGGCAAATTGCACCTCTTGTGCAGTTGTTAAGCGCTCATCAGTTTGATATGTTGTCGCCTTGTCGGTATGCGCGTTTTCTCAACTTGTCGACAGATTCATCTGGTTGGCTTGCTACCCAGTCAGCTTGCTATCTTGGTACCAAGTTCGTCTTCTAGTTAATTTTTATGGTAAAGATATGTATAAATTAATATAAATATATATCTTGATGTAATCTAAATGAATTATTTCCCGTTGGAAGATGCAGTATCTAAAATCAGAGGCTCTATAATGTATGTATTTTGACGATACATTATCTAAAAATCAGAGCCGCGGACTGGCTCTCGAAGCACAGTCTCATCTATCCCTACGGTATGCATGAGCTGACTGACCCGCCTAGAGAGCTAGCTCGAATCTTACAGGATGATATTATGGGGGTGTCTTTTGATCGCCAAATTGTGGCATATCTTCTCTTCCTAGCTATCTTCTCTTCCCTCCTTGTGTTTCTTGCTTCTTGGCTTTGGCCTCCCTTAATGCAAAAAAAAAAAAAAAAAAAAAAACTAAAAATCAGAGGCTCCAAAGTACTACTAATAATTGACCTCATTCATTTAATAAAAGTTAATATTGACTAATCAAATGCATTTGTTAAGCGGGGGCTGTTTGGGGACGTCGGAGAAGAACGAGACAAAATGGATTTGCTTAATATGAGAGCATTGTTTTTTAATTGAAGGTCCTACAACAAATATAAAAATTATTTGGGGCAGGCGACAAAAAGAAGAAAAGTATAGTGATGAAATAGAATATCATATATATAAGGTCCAAGTAGAGAGCAAAAGGTGAAAAGCAAAATTGATAGTGAAGAATGAAGATTATTGTTAATGAGGTTCTTAATGAACGGCTCTGTTTTCCATTGGAATCGGGTCTTTGCTCTAGCTTGTGTCCTGTGAGGAGAGGAGGGATGGTAATTGATCAGGTTTCTCTAAGCCTAAATTCAATTTAGCAGATGTATTTATTTTAAAAATTATGTAAAATATTTTTGGGTTTTAAAGAGCAAAGCCAATCAAATCCAATATCGGGGACAAGCTACGGTGATTATACTAAGGGTAAATTGGTTATGAAAAAATAAATTGTATTAATTAATAAAATTAATAAATTATATTTTAGGTAGTTATAAAAATCTATTAATTATGATTCTTTCTCTCACTTCCGTAATCTCCAGCCAGATTTCATTTCCTTATTTTTCTCAATCGTTCTGCAAAAGAAAAAAAAAACGAAATCACTACCAATCCATTAGACAATCACTACCACTTTAAAATACATCAATACCATAAATAAATCTATACCATTACACGAAAACTACCAATATAAACAATCTACCAATATAAATCTATACCATTTCAAAAAAATCAATACCATTGTAGATTTAATCAATACCAATACATGCAAATTAATACCATTACATGATAATCAATACCAATGCGACATAAACAATACCAATGCAACAAAATCAATACCAATCCATAAAAACACTGATACTTATTAAACAATACCAATACATGCAAACCAATACAATTAGGGCTAATACCACTAGGAAATCCGAACTATTAACTTTGTGTCATTTGTGTCCTAAAGTATTCGATATGACATTTGTGTCCTAAACTATTTTTCCGTTAGAGTTGACTAGCATTGACCGTTAGTTTTTAACAGAAAATCTAGTCAGCGCTTATGTGGCATCTGACGTGGACATTCTATTATTAATTTTTCATAAAAAATAAATAAACTAACAGAAAATAAAATAAACAAAAATCTCTTGGTCTCCTCTCTCCTCACTCGACCCCGCTTACCCTTCATCGCGCCGCCATTGTCGGCGAAACCTAGAAAAAAAATTCTTGCCATGGGGGTGTCTCAGCGTTTCCTGCATCCAGAAATTGGGGGCAGAGCGGGATGGGTCGGTTCAGGTCCCAGGAGCAGAGCTCCTCCCACTACTTCAAGTGCTTGAGGATAATCATTTGCTGGAGGTCTTTGTAGGTGGAGAAGGCGCACGGGGTAAAATTGAAGGCATCGGAATCAGACTGGGCGGAGTAGCCGAGGGAGGCGCTGAAGGCGGACTGGGCGTCCCACAATCTGGTGGGATTGGTGACGACGGGGATTGCGCCGCCAAGGAAAGGGAGGACGGAGATTGCGCTGCCAAGGAAGCTATTTTTATGGATTGAAAGCGATGGTCCTCCCTTTCTCCTCGTCGACGATTTGGAAGGGGGTCGAGTTGCAGCCCAAAATAACAGAATACCCAAACCATAAATCCCCAGAAATCAAACTTCTTCTTCCTCCAACCTGGTTTGAAATTGGCTTCATCGCCACAGGCCACCACAGACTGGAACCCCTTCTCCCTCTTCTCTCGTCAATTTCATCTGCCTCTCGCACCCTCCCTCCTCTTGCCATCGACCATTCTTCCCTTCTTCCTCCATCACCGCCAAATCCAGTAAGAGAGAGAGAGAGAGAGATTTGTGTCGCAGGTTGCGTCGCTAGGCCAGTCGAAGAATAGAGGCGAGAGGGATCAACAAAGAGAGGCGGAGATGAATCGTCTTCTCCGGTGGCGGGGCCGCTTTTGGTTGAGAATTGAAGAACATAAGCTGAGGGAGGCAGCTAGGCCGGTTTCTTTTATTTTTTTATTGTTTAAATAATTAAAATTTTGATAAAAAAATAATATTTAATGATGTGGCATCTACATGGCAGCTACTTTTTTTCCACGTCGGCAAATCTGTGACGTCCGTTTGGTCAACCGTTATCTATAACGGTCAACCAAATCGTTAGGACATAAATGACACACAATTATAATATGTTAGGACACAAATGTTATATCGAATACTTTAGGACACAAATGGCACAAAGTTAATAGTTCGAGTTTCCCAGTGGTATTAGCCCATACAATTACATCACTA